TCAAAGCTGGGTGACATCCTATATAATAAAGGGCTAATATGCAAATCACATGAGAGGCAGGGGGAGAGAGAAAGGCACTAGGACTACGTGGAAAGAGAAAGGCCCCACTGTCCATCATTCTAGCCAAGCCTATCCTTGCAGACACCCCACCAAGGCACCAGGCATGTGAACAAGGCCATCATGAATGTTCCAGCATCAGCCACCATCTTACCGCAGCCACATGAAAGACCCCAAGTGAGACCTCAGAACGCCCACCAAGATGAATCCGTCAACCCACAGAATGGTGAGAAATAATAAAATGGTTGTTATTGTTGGAAGCCATTAGGTCTTGGGATGGGTGTTATCTAGCAATAGATAACTGGAAAAGAGGCAAGAGAGGTAAAAGGATGCTGACCGTGTAAGGCAGCCTATCTTTCCATCCCCTGCACAGCCTGCAACGCCTTTATCATCCGTCCTCTTCCCTCGCCTTAGAATAGGACACTGCTAACCCAGTTTTCACCTTCTGGCAGAAATCCTTTAAACCAGACCGCAGTCGGAACCCACTGCATCCATGCAACACAGGATCCTAATAGAAACTGATGTGTAAAAGGGTCAGGTCTCCAAAGGCATGACTGTTGCTGCCGCCACTCTGCGGACTTCTCCGGCTGGCGAACACACGGCAGTTGCTCCTCAGAGCTAACTTGCCAACAGGAGGTCAACACCCCCTGCCTAAACACAAGACTTACAAATTTGGGATCTTAAGTATGATGTCATGTCTTAAAATGATAAGCTGGCAAAGAAAATAAATGGCATTTTGTAAAGATGTGCACCGTTTTCATGTTTACGCTACTTAAGATGAAGGTTCTAATAAGTCATCGGCTATGTTCCTTTAAAGGGAAGTTTTATAACTGAGATGAATCACAACTGCGAAAGATCAAAGTTAAAAAACATCAATGATGCCATGGGGTACTTTTTAATCTTGTAATGAGTGATGATCATGTGCTCTTATGAAGTGAGTCCAACTGCCAACGCCAGATGTGTATATTAAGAAGAGAAGTTGTTTGTGATGTGACAGCGCCGGTTCAGCTGCCAGATTCAGAAAACACAGAAGGATAAAACCGTTCTGATTTTTGAGTGAAAAGCAAGTTTTGGCAGATGTGTTGATAACCAGGGCCTCAGAGGGGGCACTGGGGCCCTAGCATCCTCTCTCGGACTTTGCCTTGCTGCACAGTCATCAGCTCTGCACAGCTGTCTCCAGGCAGCATGGATACCTGCTCAAGACACAATTTATAACACTTATTAGTGTCATGTACTAATGAGCAGAAATTAGTAAAGCCATCTGCAAGAGAAAAAACATAATTCACTGGAGAACTGAATCTAGATGGTATCTATTTCCTGGACACATGCTATAAGCAAAACTCACAACAAACGCCTGACACTGAAGGAAATTGCTGTAATAAAAGCCAACACGTAGTGAGCACCCACTGCATGACAATCACTGCCCTACGCATTTTATATGCACCGCAGCATTTAACATCTTTACAGCAACTGATGGAGAAGATACTATTATTAGCATTCTCCTTTGAAAAGATGAGCAAACTGCGGCAAAGAGAAGTTGGGTAACTTGCCTACCACCGTACAACTAGTAAGTGGAGCTGGGATTTCAATCCAGACAGCTGGACACCAAAGCCCACACCTTTAATCACTAAGCTACGCTGAAGAAAGACCCAGCCAGTTAACCCAGAACTTGTCCTTGTTCAAATGGCTGATCTACCAGAAGCAGTCTCTTCAAAGAGTGAAATTCCTTTACAGGAATCAATAGTGCAGGATCCTCAACTTCAAACCATTAGAGTAATAAACAGATGTACACTATTTCTATGACAACCATTACTTAAAGAATTATAATGTTGTGGGGGAGGAGGCTAAAACAATTGCATTAATGGTCTTTTTTCCCCCCTCATAAAAGCCTTTTTCTATAGCCCTTCTCTGTTAACAGTCAATAAAATAAACCTTTCTGAAATCTAGAGCAGCGATTTTCAACCTTTCTCATCTCATGGCACACATTACTAAAATTCTGCGGTACACCAAAAAATAGATTATGTTTTTACCAATCTGACAAAAAAAAAGGTATAATTTTGATTCATTCACGCCAGACAGCTATTGTTGTGTTGGCTGCTGTCATTTTTTTATTTGACAATCTAAGGGAAAAGAGGTCAGGTATTGCATGTTTTAAAAATTCTTGTAGCATGTTATTTGAAAATCGCTGATCTAGAGCAAGAGTTGACAAACGACAACCTGTGTGCCAAGTCTGACCCATCACTTGGTTTTATAAATAAAGTTTAATTGAAACACAGCTACAAGCATTAATTTATGTATTGGCTAAGGCTGCCTTAGAGCTACAATGGCAGAGGTGAGTACTCGTAGCAGAGATCATATGGCCGCAGAACTGAAAGTATTTACTATCTGGCACTTCAGAGAAAAAGTTTGCCAAACCATGTTCTAGAACAGTGGTTCTCAACCTTCCTAATGCTGCGACCCATTAATACAGTTCCTCATGTTGTGGTGACCCCCAATTTCATTGTTATAAATTGAATATAATTAAAGCATAGTGATTAATCACAAAAACAATATGTAATTATATATGTGTTTTCCGATGGTCTTAGGCGACCCCTGTGAAAGGGTCGTTCGGCCCCCAGAGGGGACGCGACCCACAGGTTGAGAACCGCTGTTCTAGAAGTTTTATCATTTAACATTATATACACACACTAATCCATCTCACAGTTGAAAAAATTGAAAATCTTGGGCATTTTTCACATCTGTGAGTCTCAAAATTAAAAAACAGTATTGGGAAGCATGCAATACTATATTTAGTGCCCAGGGTGGCCAAGAGCAGGGCAGAAGGAAATAACCCAGCACAGTAGGTCCAGGTTGTAAGGTTAAGATGTTACTGATACCAGACCCATCCCTATATCCGGACACTTAGTCACCTCATGATGTCAGAGAAATGATGTCACATTTTCACAGATACTTTTGGTTCTGGAGAAATGTCACTCAGGCTGATCTAGGGCAGTGGTCTGCCACTCGAGATCTGTATCTGCTTCCCCCTCACACCCTCAGCACCCTCAGCAGCACCCACAGCTTGATCTCAGGTCACACACATACCATCTACCGCTGCTACCCCTAATCCTCACTTGTTTGCCTTTACAGGGCATTGAGCCCATCAACTAATTAATACTGCCAACAGCCTCTTTGGAACAAAGTCATGTTATCCTCACTTGAAAGAGAAGTAACTTTCCCAATGCTACCTTTTGTCACATCTTTCAGAATGTGGCAGCACCCACCTCCCGTTTCCTCTCCCACTCATCAGCTTTTAAGCATCAAGTCTTGAGTGTATGAACACACACTGATACACACCCAGTGACACACACAGAGAGAGACACACGCACACACACGCACAATAATGGTTTTTCCAAGAACTACGAAAAGCAGCTGAGATCGGCAGGAAACATCTTTAAAAGATAAGTATTCGTAGGGCTAAATGTTCAAAGACTACTCTCCCGCTTTGTGCCTTACTAAAATGGATGTCCCTGCCTTTTCAGGAACTCAAGGGCTAATTCGATCAAATGTTAGAAGATGTCTCCCATCGTAAGGCATCACCCCAGACTTATGGCAGTCCAGAAAAGTCAGGCAAGGCCCTGAACTGGGCAAGACAGCCCTGCTCTGTTCTGTTCCCCTGCACTGCATAACCACTGGCCCCTAGGCATGGAGACTTGGTGCAGCCGGAGACAAGTGTATGGCTAGCACCTAATAGGACCTTCTCAAACTGAGCAGACAGGGCCAGCACTGACCCAACATTGGGAACCTGGAAGAAAGCCATACACATGAAAGGAGAAAAGAAAAACCTCAAAGACTGGCTTCTGAGGCAGGAAACCTCCCTCGTTCAGGCAAGCAGTCAGCTTTTGTGAAGAGAGACAGCCGCAGGAGGAACGGAAGGCACCGTATGCTCCCACTTGGGCCGAGGCACCATTCACCAGCCCTTTTCTCTCGGTTTTAGAGGAAGAAAGGAGATGCCACACTCCCTGTCTAGGCAGGTGTATTGTTATATAACAAATATTTCTGCCAGGTGTACCCCCACACAAACCAAACTAAACTCTGAACACAATGGCTAGGTCTCCGATGTATTCACTCATCAAAGGCAGAGTCCTATGCGATGTTTCCATTGGCACAGAATTTTTAATGTTGTATATGGCAAATAATCATTAATCTCTAAATACATTTAAATGCTGCTATGTCAAGTCTGTTCAAATCAGTTTGGGGGAGGGGGAAACCAAACCAGTTTCAATTCAGATTTAAGAGGAAAATGTGTATTAGCCCAAACGAATTATGTGCACTTCCTTAAACTGCTGCTGGTTAATTAAACCTTCTGGATGCCCAGACAGACAAATAAACCAAGATGGATTTAAACCTGGTTGGACTCTATATGTTAAAAGAAACTATCTATAACAATTACTAGAACATGACCAAACAACAGTGTTGTAACAATCAAGCAAGTTATCGTTTGCAAATACATTCTTTGTAATTAAGCAGTGTGCTCTTTATAAAGGGAATTGAGTGGGCGAGGTAAAAAGTTAAAACACATTCTTAGACCATGGGAAACATACGCAAATGCTTTTTGACTAAGCTCAAGAGTTCTCAGTTTATTATTTTCTTCCTCAGCTCTCATGGGTCTGATCTGCCCTGGCTAGTGGGTACAGTGGATGAGTAGAATCTCTTAGAAAATAGTTACTCATTTCTCAAAGTTATGTAGGCCTTAGCAATTTTGCGGCAAAGGTTAAGAGTATAATTTCTTTTTCTACTATCTGTGAAGTTGTACTAACTGTCCCTCACTAAAAATACATGCAGATAGCAAACTTCACAAAGAAACTGTTTACATGGAAGTAGCACTACCTTATTTGGGATAATTTCCTCAAAGGGTCTGTGCAAACTCTATTACCATTTCCAACAGGAAGGCAAGGACTTACTTCTGGGTTCCCGGGGCCCGTCCACTGTCACTTTAATAGCTCTGTGATAGGTGGCTACTTGGGGAGGGTTGGTGAAGACAGTTATGGTCAAGGTGAAACTCTTGCCTGCAGATGTAAAAGAGAAAAATCCATGGTGAGTATAAAAAGATAATACTGATGACAATATAACAGCACAGATGTCCAAACTTCATTTAAGTTATCTCTGAGTTGGTAATGAAACAAAGACAAATAAGACGCCTTATTCTAAGATAGAATCTCTTTGATGGCCACTCTAGGAAGTTAGTGAACTCATTGAGTGTTGAGAGCTTCATCTTCAGTGTAGTACCATACAAGGCAGCTCCAATCTAAAGAAAGAAAGAAAGAAAGAAAGAAAGAAAGAAAGAAAGAAAGAAAGAAAGAAAGAAAGAAAGAAAGAAAGAAGAAAGAGGAGGGAGGGAGGGAGGGAGGGAGGGAGGGAGGGAGGGAGGGAGGAGGAAGGAAGGAAGGAAGGAAGGAAGGAAGGAAGGAAGGGAGGAAGGGAGGGAGGAAGGAGGAAGGAAGGAAGAAAAAAAAGAAAAGAAAGGGAAAACCTGCTCAGTAGCAATAGTTGTAATGAAAACAAAAACCCTGGTCCACTTGAAGAGGTTCTCTTCCTTTCAGTTTTCTCCAACATCAGGAACACATCCAAGCACAGACAATTTTAGAAGTCTTTATTTAGGATTAGGTCATGACCCCTTGAGAGAACAATAGTAAATCACTGTTGATTATGTTATTTACTTCACATGGCTTTAGCATTTCATTTGCTCAACTGCACTACAATAAGAAGATGAAAGAGGAAGGTTCTTATGGGAATCATTTTAACAGGAGCCAGTGTCTCCTGTACTGGCCTTAATGTGCCTGTGGTATGATGATTTCATCATTACTGGAACAAAGATTTTCTCCTCCCTGCCCACCCCTCCCCTAACATACATCCTTGCTGCTAAATCTTCAAATAACTCCCTGACAGTGACTTATTTTTGCTAAACGTACAGGACACCTCCCAATATAAATATGAAGTTTTGCTTTTAGCAGAGGGTGTGCTTCATGGAAATATTACATCTGATGTTTCTCATTAATGAACTACAAGTGATGAATGGAGGGGGAAAGACAGGGAAAAGTTTGGTAGCAGATTAGGGCTTCTTTCTTTCTCCAGCAGAGGATACCAGACTCTGTTACACAGACTCACTGACAGTTGTAATCAGTTAGATTTGCAACGGTTAGTCATGTCAGATAGTCAAAACTGCAAACTGTTACAAGACAGGAAAAGGTGGGCGTGAAACAGTGACTCAATAAAACATTCAGCAATCTCAGGCCAGAGTACTCATTTAGCCTGGTCTGTAACAGACCTTTAAAAAGCTCATTTTGCTTTGCTTTGTTTTTTGGTCAGAGACTGTTTTTTCCCTTTACTGAAAGCTGAGGGTATTAAATCAAAACACAAATCTGAAACAATATGTATCAATGCAAAGTTTAATGCAATCTTTTCAAAGCTTAATATGGAACAGGTTATATACAAGGCTTAATGTGGAACAGGTCTTTGACTGTCAAGTCTAGTGAATGGGTTTTCTTTTCAACCCAAACCATATAAGTTCCTAAAATATGTTTAAGACACACATCATTTGTTACTCAGGATATACAGTTTTAAGTCTCTTTAGCTATACTTTTCTATACCCAAGAGAAGGGGGGGGGGGGGAGAAAACACAGGAATGCAAGGAAGGGGAAGATGAATATTGATTAAAAACCTATGAAGTGCCAGGTTCATACACATGACCTCATTTGATCCTATCAGTTAAGTTTATCACCTTCTTTTCACATATGAAAAAAAAAATGAAGCTCAGAGAGGCTTTAGTCATTTACCCACACAGCTAATAAGTGGAAAAAGTCAGAATCTGAACCTAGTTCTTCCATACCTGACAATGAATGCTCTTCTTTTTAACATTGCCAGAAAATATTAAAAAAAATTAATAGGTAATTTATTTCTACATGTGTCCCAATATACTCTATAAGACCAAGAAACAGTAAATATAAATCTACTAACACCCTATCTTGGCCAAGATGATGAAAGCATCTATTCTTAGTGTCATTAATATATCATAGCTCATTATTATATACTGGATGTTACATGGATGTAAGTGGTTTAATTATCTCATTAGAGAACAGGATTTATTATATACATTAAAACTAACCAGAAGAATAAGAGTCTAAACTAGTTACAGAAAACTTAAAACCCACAGAAATCAAGATTAGAAAGTTGAATAGAAAGCCACTGGATCCAGGTCAGGACCTCAACACAATGGGGAGATCTGTCTGGAGGAGTGAACAGGCGGACTCCCTAGGCCCGAAAGTTAATTTACATGAAACCATAAAAAGATGCCATCCTGGGTTATATCAATGGTTGTGAGTCAGAACTGCATCTCTTGGAAAGTAGTTGTCATCCCTGGCTAACCTCAACATATCGAGGATGTACTAGTATATATCCCAAGTGTCTTTAACGTCTGTAAATAACCTGCTAGAGCTACTGTCCATGAATTTATTTCAACTGGTTCTGAGAATATTTCCATTTGAGACCTGTGGAACTTACATAGGATGTTAAACGTCATTGATGCTGATCCCAAATTCAGAGAAACACATCATGGAGGGACAAAAGCCAAATACAGAATTCACTCTGTAAGGATAAAGCATCTAAATGTTCAAAGTGGAACCAGTTTTCTATGAAGAACTCTTTTTAAAAGAAGTGGGCTTGGGAGGAGGAAATGACTACAGTCTTCTAAAATCAAATCCTAAGGATCAAGATGTACTTTAACAACTAAAACAAAAATCAAGGAGATTCTTTCCCCTTCTTTGTGCTCCTTCAGGAAGAACATGAAGGTAGTGCTCCAGAAACTACCACCCATCTAGGTAATTGGTTCTCCACCTTATAAATAATAATACATTTCCTAAGTCAAGTGTTTATGTATTTATTATTTCCTTAATGTTAAAAAAAAAAACTTTTTCCAAATCCCACTTTTTATCACTTTCTATAAATGATAAAAATTCAGGCTCCTACTTTAAAATGCAGGCTCTTACTGTATCATTCATATATTTCTTTCTAAAATAAACATAGGAACTGCCATTAAAAGTCAATTCCAACCTAACCTGAGGGGCTGTCAGGAACAGTCAGCAGGAGGGCTGAGACTGTAAGCTGGGATTGCAGCCTTAAATTGACAAAGTCCCAGGCTCTGTATACCATAGGTGCTTTTTAGAATGCTTGAAAATTAAAAGCAGCATGCTTGATGTCCAAAGTGAGGATGCACATCAAAAAAGCTTAAGGACCCAAGGCATCTTACATTCTTCTGTTTAAAATACAAAAGACACGGAGAACACATAAGCCACTCCTAACTGTTTCACTGATGCTCTACTTTTATTCCAAAGCACTTCCAGAAGTTGTGGTCATGAGTTAACCCATAAAGCCAAAGTAAGTAGTGATATGACGCCTTGATAAATCCAAAACTGGTTTTCAATTTCTGAGAGTTTTTATTTCTACCAGTGGAAAGAAAAACTATAATAATTTGGGGAACTTGGTGTTATTTTTCAAATGCTACTGAAAAGAGAAATGTTTAAATAGCTGGGGGAAAATAACAGTGGTAGCAGCGTGCTGATCCAGACTTAATAACTTAAGAGAAATACAGAAGTGTGAAAATCAAAGAGGAAGCTAGAAAGAGTCTGTTAGAAAGCAGGTCAGGTACACAGGCAGGTTAAAGAGCTTCCTGCCACCGAAAAACTGACCTTTTTTTTTTTTCTCCCCAAAGAGTGGTATCCCTTATCAATGTTCTCTGTCCTATTTCACTCTTTATTTCAGCTTGATATTACTGTTTCCTTTCATATAATGTTAATGTAGAGATATAAAAATCTATTATTAGTGATAAATCAATTTTTCTTTCTCTCTCCACCCGCTCCCCCCACTCCCCATCTAAGTCTCAAAGACAAGTCTGGACCAATTTCTCCATCCTGCCTCTGGCAGCAGACTGTAGCATTTCAGATCCTCCACCAAGTCCCGGCTGCTTCAAAGGAAAAATCCTACTTTCTTCAGTTAAGATCATAAGAAATATAGGGGGAGGGGGTCAGCTCTGTTTGGACATAATTACACTTCATCAAAAGAAGCTTTCTTCATCTTCCATGCGTGAAAAGTCTGCAAGCAGTTAAGTCTGTCTTTTTTTTTTTTTTAAATATAAAAATTGCTATTTGGGAAACCAGCCAAAACTCAGAAAGCCAATATAGTAAAACAGTGCACACCCTTTGTTTCTCTTTGAAGTTCCTTAAATAAATATGTTGAGGGTTTACAAAGTACACTATCACTTTGCCATAGTTTCTACTCAAATTGATCAGAGAAAAGTTATGCAGCATCTACATAATACAAAAGCAAGATAAATGAAAGCACTAGCTTGAATCTGTAAAGTAAAAAAAGTACAATGCCCAATCTTTGAGATACTAAAATTCATTACTCTAGTTAACAACAAAATCATATTACATAAGAAGAACAATGTACTTCAGAGCATACAGGTATATCATCATGTTCAAATCTTTCTTGATTCTTACTAGGAAAAAAAAAAAAACCTTAATGGTGCTGTGGACCTGCACCAATAACTGAAAGAGAGAGGGAACAAAAAGAATGAACACATACACATACACACTTCACACCTAATCAGTCAATAGTGAGAGAGGAAGTGTCTTTTTTTTAATGAAAGTAAACTAACCCTGATGCAGAAATAACCCCTTTAATTTTGATCCTACCTACCATAGGCCCTGAGCTTCATTTCATTTCAAACAACCTGAGCTTCATTTCATTTCAAACTTTCAGTGACAGTATCTCATTAGCATGCATCATTTTATTTTAAGTTAAAAAGTACAACTTCTTGGCCCTGTTCCTAGAAAGTAAACTAAAACTACTCATCGGAAACAGTCTTGCTTGAATTTCCCTTATCAAGTTTTTACAATGGTAATAATTTGACATCTGATCCAAACTAAAGAGCAATTACTGAACATGGTTTAAAAAATTGATGCTTCTCATTTCCTAATTCAAACCTGGGTTGGAGTAACTCTATAGGTCTTTACAATTTATTTCACCTTAATCCTAAAGTGGTCTATTTTCTCTCTTATTATTGAAATACTTAAAATGGAAATATTAGATTCAATAAATAAATAAATGAACATAATACTTCTAAAGAATGACTATTAAAAGTCTCTCTATACAATAAGTAAATAAAGCCAAAAATCAGTTTCCTTAGAGACTTTTTAAAAAACATTCCTAAAAAATAAGGGATTATTTTCTATTTTATGATCTTTTTAAAGGATTCCTAACATTTGAATATTAGCATTCAGATGGTGTAGACCCTTAAATAATGTGGAAATATTTCAAGTCCTGATCATTCATCTGTCTAGGCGACTATATAGTCATTCTAACACAAGTAACACATTATTCATTTATTCAAATGAAAAGCCTTTTGTTTAAAAAAAAAAAACTATGATTTTTAAAGGGTTTTATCATAAGAATAAATTAACTCATACAGAGGTAACATGTGTGATAAGTGAAGTGCAGCATACCAACTGTCCTTGCTACCACTTAGAGCAAAAGTGATATTATGAGGAAATTGATCCAATGCATTCCTTTTTCTTTCCCCTTTGCCACTAAATTTACTCAGTTATTTGGCTCCTCATAATTCATAGCTTGAACCTCCAACTGTTCTTCTCTCCACCTTATGTGCTCACACCCAGTGAAATTAGGAAAGAGTTCTCTGAAAACCCTGTTTGAATATTCAATATCATAAAACCAATGAAAAAGGCCTGAGTACTCAGAAAGACACTCCACTTCATCTGGACATATTTAAGTTAAAACCTTCAGCAACTCAGTTCAGTAGAAGAGGGTGCTGATTTGTATACAGACTAGTCCACATGTCATCAGAGGATCCTAATGTGTTTATTCCATTACTAATATTAAAAATCAGAGACCTACCTCGTCCACTCCGGCCCACAAATCTCAGATCGTTGAACCTTGCTACTTGGTTTTTCATAACAGCAGAGGCATTTCGGAGCTCAGCAGAATAATTTTCATCGTTACCCGCCATGACAGTAACCACAGTCCCATCTGGTACCTCTCCAAGGGCTACCACCTACATAAAATAGGAAACACAGCAGCAATAATGGCACATCAGGAAAGCTTAAAAACTGAGAAGATATGCTCATGGCGAATGATGTGTTTTATCAGGACTTAGTGCTCTTGTCCAGTAATGGCAGGCAGAAATGAAGCATCTGCATATGGGTTAGGATGCCACTTCAAACAGACCAATGTTGCAGGGTCCACCCATTTCAAAGGCAGGCAAGGGTTTCCTTCATTTGTTGTTGCATTCTTCACCAAATATATGTACATTTTTATTGAATCCCCATGTTAGGTTGTCCATAGGAATTATGCCACAGAAGGCAGGCTGATGCCCCATCTGCAGATTGCTTTGTGCATATTAAGGCACCGCCTGTCTGCAGCCAGGAGCAGCCTGAGGTGTGGTCTCATCCCGGTCACAGGCTAAAAAGGAAAGTCTAGTCGGCCCTATCGGAGATGACATTTAGGTGAAACCTTGGAGCTCCTGACTATATGGGAGCCTAAACATGGTGTGGTATCCAGGACTACATTTCATCTCCTTACTTTGGGTTAGATGTGCTTACTGTTAATCATACTGCAAATAGTTACTAAATGTCCACTCTGCTAGGATTCGGTGGGATATACAAAGTCACCAAGAAGCATAAAGTCTAGGTCCAGCATAAAGAAGTAAAACAGGCTGATAACGATGCCTGACAAATGAGTGGTATATACAGAAAAAACGCTTCTGTCTTTTTCCCATCTGACATCTTGGAATGACACATTCGCCTCCTTAACCTTCAACAGTTAACCTTTGGCAGATTAATCAGGCAAATAAGGACCCAGCATAATCAGTCTTTGAGGCTAATAAACATTTTCACTGCTCCAAGGCGAGGGATCCCACTTTTAACCAGGGTCAGCTAACTTCCAAATGGGGGCCTCAGATTAACACGGAGCCTGGTAAGGGAGTGCTGGCGCAGAGCCCTTGCTGTCACGTATAAAACACAATGCTCTTAATCCATTACCTGGACACTGACCTTTGATGATGCCCTTTCTCTCAACTAACTTCCAGGATCCTATAGTCAGATTATTTCCATCTCTTCCTCACTCTCTGACATTAACATCCATATGTGCTTGCCTCTTTGGCAAATATCCCATTCCTCTATTCTCCTACTTTTACAGCTACTCCCTCTTTTGTCAAGACTTCTGGAAGGGCAAATCTAAGCATTTAATTCCCTGCTCCCAATACAACTTGTACTTGCTCTCATCAAAGCAGATTTCTCAGACTATGATAAAACAGACACTGTAACTATACTCTGGGGCCTTAATTTCCCCTACCCCTGAACCCTAGCCCAATACTCCTTAACTCTATCCTCTGCTTCAGCCCGGGAGGTGGGGGTGGAGGAGAAACATAACAAAACAAAACAAAAAAAACTTGTCAATATATTTTTTTACACATACTTTTTTCTTAGGCTATTTTTCAATTCCATTCCTTCTTTAGCACTTTGTTATTCAGTTTAAAATCCTAGAGCTTTCCTTAAATCACAAAGCCCACTTCCACAGCATTCCACTGTGCTCAAATGATCCTCATTTCAATGTGCATATATTAATAATTTTTCTACTCCTTTTCATACACTAGCCCCAAACTGAGAGACTCGCTCCTAGAAGTCCAGATTTATATTAGTTTGAAAACTATAAGAGGGAAGGGCCTTTATCTGTCTTGTTCAGTACTATATGCCCAATTCCCAAAACTGCTTGGCAAATAGTAAGTGTTTGATAAATATCTTTGAAATAAACAAATTAAAGAGCACCAAAAAAAGCATCATGTTCCACAGCCAATAGTCTGTGAGGCTACCCAGTAAAACGCTGAGAGACCCAGTTAAAGGTTGAGTCAGCATGCCTCACTAGAGGCAATGTGCCCTTGCTCCAAACTAGTTTTCTGACAACTTTTTCCATCCCAGGGGAGGGGGAATCATGCCAAAGATCCTTTACTCACAGTATATGGTTACTCTCTTCAATCTGAGAAGAGTCCCTGACCAAGGGTAAATGCCTTGAGAACACGACTTCCGCCCTGCATACTTGATCTAGTGCCTCAAGTGGCTACCGACTCTCTAGGTAATGCTGTATTGCTGATGGGGGCAACGTGCTTTTCAATTTTTCAAACTCACAATGCCAAAAATGTGAACATTTTGAAAATACTGAAATAATTGACTATGTTTGCCAGGATTCATCTCGATGTTTGACATTTTTTTACACTCAGCATATTGCGTTTTAACACCTGCTGTGTGTGTGGCATTCTATGTCAAAGTAAATATGGAACCAGTAAGTGTATTAATGAAGGCAGAAAAGTTGTACTGTTTAGAAGAGAATGAATGCACCAAAACTCAGGAGGCCCCACTTTTTCCCCACCTCTGCTATGATCTCATACAAGTCACTTCATCTCCAGGAACCACAGTTTTCCAATATAAATTGGAAATAACTTTTTTAAGTCTGTAAAATGTAGAAGAAACTACATAAGTATAGACTGTAATTATAATGATGTACTTTTTGTAAGATGAGGAGGCTCACTTCTATTCCAAGTCTGCTATGTGGTAAATACAGGCTTTTACTTATGAGCATCCTTAAAGGATTCTATTGAATATGTAATTCTTCATGTCCTGGGATGCTTTTTGTTGCTGTTGAAAGATAAAGGATAACTGCTGATGGGTTTCACTCCAGTCTGGCTAAATTTCAGAAGAAAGTAAAGAAATCTGCCCTGATATGAAGATTTTCAAGAGCTCTGGGACATTATTATTTTACTGCATATTTTTAACATAATGGGTTTTGTGTGTTTTTTTAAGTTAGAAGAAAAGGAAAATTGATTCAATATGGGAAAATATGAAAGAACAGATCCCTAAGAGTGAAATACATAAATCCATTTTACTTTGCTTAAGCAGCATAATAATGACCATATTAAATACTGGTATGTCTTACGTATTATATTTAATAAGAAAACAAATAGGTAATCACAAATTGTGAGTCTTCTATGAGGCTTAGAACTTGGCCTAAAAAAAAAAAAAAATGCTAACTAAAATGATATAGTGACAACTTTTCCTGTTATGGCTGAACTCTATTTTAATGGTTAAATATGTTGGGTTATTTTTTTTCTGCTATATACGCTACCAAATCACATTGGCTAATGTTTTTCTGAGGGGAAAAGAGGGAAGGGAGTACTGTATTTGAGTTTATATCAGTCAGAAGGGAAATTATATGTTTGAGATTTTTTTATAGTAGATTTCTGAAGCTAAAAAGTTTCCCTTGAAGATTTTCAACTATGTTTATCTAAAAGAAAACCAAAAGAATCAAGAAATTTTTGCACATTTCATCTGTACCAAACCCAAGCAATGGAAAACATTTTAAGGGGCAGAGAGAGAGCAGACAAAAATTGCTCCTTAACCAGTTAGGAGAAAGCACACATTAAAATTTATTTCCGTGCTACCCAATACAAAAGTTCTGTTCTACAAAGAATAATTTGTGATGAAACCTTAACAACTACATTTTTAAGTGTTTTTAAAACATAAATTCTACAAATTTAAGAAACTTCATGGGAAAGAGAAGTAATTTTATGTCCTGACATTTCAGACTTGAGAAAGAAGTTCCTTTATTTAGCACACCTCACTATAACCAGTATTTAAATCACATGATACGCAGCTTGTACAAAATAAAGGGTATTTCTTTAACTCTAGAAACACTACTGAAATTTTGTATAAGATTCCTTATGACTAAATCTGTAAATTACTCTGAAAGAGGAGCAATGGAGAATTAACTCAGACTCTTAAAATTGTTTTTGTGGTCTTATTATACGGAAATAAAAATTGCCCATTACATTTCCATGAACAGAAGTCTAGTCTTAACTAATCAATTACTCTTATAGACCAATATGATCTGGCATGTTGTACTTGCAGGAAAATTGAAATATAATTATTTTTCAAGATAGAATCTGATCAAATCTTTCTTTGGAATAAAAAGCAAGGTAAGGAAATAGTTGCAACAAGAAAAATTTTAATCCTATGGTAATTATCTAAAGATAACTTTAAATAAACTATCAAAAACTTTCACAAATATTACAGTTAATTTTTCAAGTTTAACCTAGAATTTAGGAACAACCATTGAATTGTAGAGAAAAAAAGTAAATACAATATAAAGTATCATTTCATAATTTTTAAAATATTTGTCAAAGAGGAAATTGGTTAAAATTATTCCAATTTAAACCAGGAATATATGTGCCATGTTTTAAGCTGGTTTAGATCATCTAACAATGGATATTCTGAAAATTTTTTGAAAGGATACGAACACAGCAATGACAAAGGGAAAATATAATGAAAGATATCTTGTCATGCCTGTTTTCAAATGTAAGTTTTCTAACATTTTTTTAATATTTGTTTTCCATCTGAAAGTTTTTATTTCAATTACTTTATCAGTAAGTTTCATATATTCAATCCGAACATTTTTAACTTTAAGTAATTGGATTGTATTTAAAGGTATAACACAAAAATGTGTCTATCTTCACACAACTTGAAATCTATTGTGATTTATATAATTTTGCATAACGGTTCGTGGTAGGCATAATAAGGTATTAACCGGTTTAATAACCTGTTTTTCTTTGTTTAGGTATATTTATATTAAAAAGACACAAACATAAAAATCTGATCATTAAATATATAAGGAAAATACAACTCACTAGTGTCAACTGATTATTAGTTGCATATTTGTTTCTGAAAATAGGCCAATTATGTCAAAAAAATTATTTTCAGCTAGAAATTGCTCCATCATTTTGAAACCCTACTTATGACAAATACTGAAAGCTATCATTAAGCATACAGAATTAACTATGAGTAATAGATCATACATCTAAAAATGCGTTTTCTTTAACATTGCCAGAAAAACATATGATACTGGTAAATATATAGTGCAATGTTCTCTAACTTAAAACAGCGCAATAACTGTGCGCTTACTATAGTTTTAAAATATACATCTGGACTTAAAATTTCTGCATAGTGTTTCAGCTTGAAGCTATTTAAAGCAACTGAGTTATGAACCCTGAACACCAGGCTTCATAGTGGAAATGCTGACAGACCCCTAACTACAAGGGTGCTACTGGATGCAGGGTTGACGTACTCTCTCTTTTTCTATCTGACCACTAACTAAAGTGATGAATTTGCAAACTGCTTTTTTGTCACTAGAATTTCAAGGACAGAAAGGCCTGGGACTCTCTAATAGTATGTCTTAACTATTTTAAGCTTTCGGTGAGATACACCTGAAAGAAATGTTAAAAATATTTATTTCCATTTCCTTGACACCTGGGAGGACCGAACATTTCAAAACTGCAGAACTTTGTTAAAAATACAATGCTGATAAACAACTTGACATATTTTAAAGTATGCTGGAGTTGAGTATCAACAAATGAAGTATTCCTGTATAATCCCTGAACAAGATCAGATGGACAACACTAACACATTACTTAGGACTTAATACAATATGTTGTTAATATCACTTTGAAGCACTATTTTAAATGAACATATCAAGACACAGTTCATTGAATTCATTTCTGATTCTCTACAGTGGTGAGCTCAGTATCACAGACATAAAATACAGGCTCAATAAATTTTGTATTGATTTGAATATCAGATTTCTCAACAATTCAGTTCTCTGTGTGTTTTAAGATAGAGTATTTACCTGTCTGTTATCTACCCAGTAACACTATAATTTACTTTGTATATGGCTCTATCATAGCCAAATTGTTCCCATCACTTTTAAAACTTCTTCATATTATTTCTTCATTACAGATGTATTTGCTTTTGTTGCAAGTGTAGAAAGCCTACTGCTCACAGGCTCTTACCTCAAAAGAAAGGTAAAGAGAGTCTGTTGTTACTAACATTCTGATGGAAACAGAAATTGTTGTCTATATCTGGATGTTCCAAATATCTACACCTCCTTTTCAGCAGAGACAAAACTTCTATATTAAGAGGATCTCAGCTATCACCTACTGTTTGAATTCTGTTAAGCACAGGTATGTGAGTTCACGTTTTAGGTTAGCTCAATTTCTTTTTTAGTTAATATGTATTTAATATTTCCTTTAGTATGGTCATGTGTTAACTATGGCTTTGTTTGCTGGTTACAACTAAAATCACCCTGATTAACAATAAATATGATTAATAGCAAAGAAAGCAATTTCTTTTCAAAAGTAATTTTTAAAAGGTGGTGGCACAGAGCCCTAAGTGCAACCAAAATCTGAGAATAGGTCAAACTAAATTGCATCCTATCTGTATGCCAAAAACATCCTTTTATCTAAAATACTCAAGTTCAAAATCAATTCAGCACCATAAATATGAAAGAACAGTTCAAAACAGTTATACTTAAACACGTTTAGCAGAACAAACGGAATGCAGACCATCAAACATCTAAATGTTATCTTTAAAAATGCAGGCACTTATCCTTAAATTTTCACATACCCTGACTTGTGGCATTGTGGAGACAATATATATGCTTATTAGACAGGTTTTTTTGTGTGTGTGTTTGGGGGGGCTTGGGGGGGAAGAGGGCTAGAAATAAAGGCTAATTAGAAAATTCTGGGCCCATGGACGATGAACATTGTAGAATATATCTCCTGTACAGAAATTTAAATTTCTACAATATTCTGAGCTTTTCGTGTTTCAAGAAGAAAACAACCTACAAAAATGGATGGTTTATAAAAGGAGAAATGGGACGGTTAAAAACACACACACATACATTTCTTGAGCCAAGTGCAAAATGGAACTTGCCCCAGAATGCAGCATCCCCTTTCCATAACGTCCATCCTGATTTCTGTTCTGATATAAGACCTAGGGAGATAACCAGCTCTAATTGACCTGGACTCCTCTCTTTCCACCCCACCCACACATGGAATCTGAACGGATGCCTGGGGGGACAGGGGAGGATGGGGGCGAATCAACAACGGGGAACTGCCAGTGGCCCTTGGGAGGCTGGCCCCAGGGTCCACAGTGAAGAATCTGGCATGATTCCTCCTCTTTTCCCCTTACCCCATGCCCTTGCTACCCTGCTCTCCTTAGATCCCAGAGCCCAAGGGTCCAGGCTAGATGGGGCCAGAAGCGGCTTTCGGAGGCTATTCTCCGTGGATGGCTCCACCGTCTCCCTCCATCCCGGCGTCTAGTCCCGCGACTGCCCAGGAACCCGCTTCCCTTCCACGCAGCTCCGCCCTGGGGGCTCCGCGTCTCCCCCAGGCGAGGGCTGCCTTAGCCATCGGGGTCGCTTTATTGACACCCATCAGGCTACTGTTCTGGACCCTACAACCCTCAACCTGCCGAGCCGAGGCCGGCGACACCCGCTTCGGACACCCGCCTCGGACACCCGCCCTCCAACTAACGGCCCGGCGGCGGAGGAGGCCGCGGAGGGCGCTCCCAAACCCCGGGATCTCTCCCTCTGCGCCCAGGCCACCCGCCCGAGCCTCCCACGACCTTACAGAAACCGGAGGGAGCTTCGGGATCCGAGTCCTTTAGCAGTAATAAGGAAAATCCGCAAAATTTCACCTCCGATTTCAAGGCTGGTAAACGGAAGGCATCTCCCAGGTTTCCCTGGTCCCCGCCAGGCTGGGCGAGGCGGGAGCGCAGTCCCGGCGGGAAGAGGCGGCCCGAGCCCCCGCCCCCTCAGCTGGCCCGCGCCTCCCGCACTCGAGGGTCCAGCGCCCGCGATTCCCGGGCTCCCCCGCCTCGGGGCGCGCTGCGACCCCGGCGGCCCCGCCTTCCTCCCGGTCAAGGGAACTGGCGCGAGTCTGCAAGCCGGGCAAATACCCCCGTCCTGCCTCCCACCTCACATGCTCCCGGAGTCCGAGGTTCGCCTGCGACCCTCTAGGGGCACCGGTAATGCGGCCCACGCGCCGCAGCGGGCGCCCCGCCCTGGGCGCAAACTCCCGGAGTCGTCACCCCAGGAACACCGCTTCCCGAGCCCGGGATGGGCCGGGGCCGCTGAGACTTAGCGGATCCGATCTGGGACTCCTAGACCGGCGGAGGGGCGTTCGGCCGGACGGAGGAACCCCGGGGAGGGGCCGGCCGGGATGCCCTGGGAGGAGGACGCGGGGATCCGGGGAACGTGCCGGGGATCCTCACCCCTGGGAAATGGGGGCGGGGTGGCGACGCCAAGAGTGGGCACCTGGAGGCTCTGGGGGGGAGGGGGCGGCTCAGAGGAGTGGGTTAGAACTTTGCCCAGGAGGCTTGAGGGGGACAAGGACTGAGGTGGTGGCTGCGGGCACAGGTGGGAGAGGGAAGGATCTGTGCGGGGTCCTTGCGCCCAAGCCCGCTGGGAGATCCGGAGCAAGAGGGCCATCCGGGGTCCCTCGGGTCTGAGCCTCCAAGGTAGGAGGCCATAGACCGTATCCGGGCCCCGGCCCCAGTGGTCAAGGAGACGCCCGCGGGCAGGTCCCGCGGCGCCCGGCCGGGGGCGGGGAGCAGCCGCAGCTTCTTACCTTGAAGGCCACGGGCAGGGTCTTGTTGCAGCGCCAGTGCGAGGGCAGCACGGAGCACAGGAAGTTGGGGCTGTCGGTGCGGACAAGCTCGGCCGGGAGGTCAGCTATGATCTCCACCATGGTGCGGTTGTCGTGCGGCGGCCGCAACCGGGGCACCGCCGCCGCCGCCGCCGCCGCCGCTGCCGCCGCCGCCGCCGCCGCCTCCTGCTGCTGCTGCTGTTGCTGCTGCTGCTGCTGCTGCTGTTGCTGCTGTTGCTGCTGCTGCGCAGCCACCACCGGGCTCACGTCGCTCATCTTGCCGGGCTGCAGGCTGCTGGAGGGGGGGCTGAAGCGCCGGCTGGTGCTCGGATCTACGGGAATACGCATCACAACAGCCACAAGTTAGCGAAGTGGCCGGGGGAGGGGGAGGAGGGTGGAAATGAGGGGCGAGGAGGAGGAAATTGGGGGGGGTGGAGGCGAGACGGGGGAATGAGGATGGAGGTGATGGGGCTCAGGAGGTGAGAAATCAAGTTCGATGAAGCCGACTGCCAGGCGAAGTCTGACGGGGGCCAGCGGTAGCGATTCGGTGCAATCAGGTTGTCGGGTGGGGAGACCCGGGAGGCGCAGATCTTTGCCGGAGCCTTTGGAACACCCGCGGTGGCAGCTGCGACCGGGTGCGGGAATGTGTTTGACCCGGAGAGGTGGGGGGGGGGGCGGGGGAGGTTTAGTTTGCAGTTTAGCGTGGGGTCTCTTTGGGCACAGCGTCCTGGGTGCGCTGGCGCCCCCTCCCAGCTTGAGTCCAGCGGTGGAGCCGAGTGGTTTCAATCCAGCCCCGGGACCGGCATAGTCGAGCGCTGCCCGCCACCGCCGCGCCGCACCGCGCGCAGCGACCCAGCTGCAGGCGCCCGCGCCGCCGCCCGCGGGCTCGGGCTGTTGCCGCCGCCGCCGCCTCCTCCGCGCGGCCGCTGCTCCCCCCGCGCCGGCTGCGCGCTCAGAGTCCTCCCGCGGCGGCTGCCAGCCAGGCTCCCCGGCTCCGCTCCTTCCTTTCCCTTCTCTCCCTCTCACCGCCACCTCCTTGCGTCCACTCCCTCCTGCTACTTGCAAAGCTCCCCTGACCCTCGCGCTTCGAGGTGCCAGGAGGTAAGTCTCGGGCAGCGGATCTCGGGGCAACGGATCTGGAGCATTCGCGTTCGAATCGCAGCCGCTGCCGCCGCCCGCCGGCCGCGAGAAGGAGCCCCCGGGACGCCGAGCGCAGCTTCCGAAGCCCAGAGGCGCCCGGGTCTTTGGGGATCTCGCCTGGTCGCGTCCTCTTGCTTCTCCCCGCCTCCCCCCGCCCCCAGGGCAAGGAACCCCCTCTTGGTCCGACGAGGTGGAAGCTGCGAGGCCAGAGAGCTGCCGGCTGATCTGACTGTCAGTATTTTTCGTTGTAAGTTCAGGAGAGGAGGAAGGAAAATTCTTGAGTGTCTGTGCTGACTTCTCAGCACTCGTCACCCTTCCCCCACCCCACCCCCACCGCTGCCTGAGTGGCTCCCTGGGGGAAGAAGATTTTGCAGGGTTTGGGTGTTTTTTTGTTTTAAGTGACACGAAAAATGGGGGCGGGGGGTGCACGCGTCAAAATAGTTTTAGAAACTCAAGTGGGTGGCTGGACCGTTTTTTTTCTTCTATATTCAAGCTTGTTCCTAGAGAACAAGGATGAGTTTTTTTTTAAGGACTGGAAAACTGTCATCCTGGTGATTAAAATAAGTTGCAAAAACCTTTGCTGGGGAGAAACTCCAACAGTTTTCCATCGATTTCAATCTTTTATTAAGTCGATTCTGCATCTAAAATGAATGTCTTAACTTTCTTTCCCACCATTCCCAGGGAGAAAAAAAAAAGTAAAAACACAAAATAAAATATTCAAATGCTTCGATGGCTATTTATTTATTTATTTCCCAATGTGGGTTTAAAAAGCGACTTTGGATCCCCCAAAAAAGTTGTGGTCGAGAGGACGAAGGAGCACGGGGGGAAAGCGGCAGTTTTACCTAAAATGTGGTTTTTGGAGGCTGGGATTTCTAATGATTAGGTTTTTGTGGTTTATATAGACACGGCTCTGGCTGAGGCAATCATTACGCTGATGAGAGTCAGAAGCACGTGGGTGTCTCCGACCAGCCTCAAACTCTGAGCCTTCAAAACAAATACAACAATGTGCGGCGCCCGCAAAAGCCTGGAAATCCGCTTGAGGCTTTTGCACCCCTAAGAAGGGGGCACCAGGCCGGCTGCCCTCCACGTTGCGCGGTGCTACGCTCCTTGCTTACTGTCAAACTCCTTTAAACCTCCCAAAGCTGTTTGAAAACGTGTTTGCAAAAAAAAACAATCATCAGTTGTCAAAGTTTCAGAGATTCCTAATAGGGGAGCTGACACAGTAATAAGTGGTTTTATAAATAAATGAGAAATTAGAATGCCTCCAACTCGGAGTACTAAGGAAGCAAGGTAGTTGATAGATATCCACCCCCCCCCCCCCATCTTATTCAAAACAATTGACTACCCATTAATTGGTGTTTTTATTGCTCAGCATAAACGCCTCTCTCACCCGGGTAGCGACCGGCCACGACCCTCCCTCTGGGTTGTTAAAGCGCTGAGCCTGCGCTGGGGTCCGCGCCTTTGAAGGGGCCTGGAAGAGCTTCGAGAGTCTGGGGGCGGGGGGTACGGAAGAGGGGACCTGGAGCCTGTCGCCGATTCAGAACCCATTTCAAGCGCAAGATGGACTTGGAGGGCTGTCGTTGCGTGACTCGGACACCGGATTGGCCTCTCTAAAGAGATGCGCCTCCCATGTAGGGGCTTCCAGCCGCGGGAGCGGTGGAAACGGGGAGGGTGGCTAGGAGTGCATCCTCACCGGGGTAAGGATGGGGATTCAGGGGACCCCACTCTGCCCTTCCTCTTCACCCCAAAATACCCCCCGCCCCCTCAGACGCGAGTCTCCTCGCCTCGTCCCTCCAGACACCTCGGCCTTCCCAGGGCCGCCGGCCACCCTCATAGACTTCGAGAAGCATTCTGCGCCACCCACTGTGACACCAGCCCGGGTCTCCTGGCCTCCGGGCCCGCCGCCCCTGGGGCGTGAGACGAACTTGCGCAGCGAAGAGCTGAGCTGTCTGCAGCGCGTGCGATTTTTAATTATCTTTTCCGTCGCAGGGGAGAGCTCTAACCCCGGGCACCGCGCCGCCTGCGCGCACCAGGGCAGCGTGTGCCCCAGCCAAAGGCAGTCAACCTGCGAGGGGAAGCGGCTTTCCCCGCAAAGAGAATAGTAAAGACGAGGCTGCATCCATTTTCTCCCACCTTACACCCACTCACAAGCACTCAGACACACACTCCCCAACAGCCACGCACTCGCACTCTTACATACACACACAACTCATACACGTGGATTTTTTTTTCCTTTTCGCCTTTTTTTTTTCTGCCTTTTAGCTGGGCCGCTTTATTTGGGGCATGTTACACCACTGTCTAACCAAGATTTCTGACTTGTTCTGTGTGTGTGTGTGTGTGTGTGTGTGTGTTTTAAAGGTGTGGCGGCTGCAAAGGAGGGAATAAGTTACAAGAAGTGTATTATTTCTGTGGCCAAAGGGAGACAGAAATTCAGTAACTACCATAGTAGGTGATACACCACCTTATCTGGGATTGTCCTTATCTCAGGAAGTCCACAGAACAGGGAACTCCCAGAAAATTTGAAGACGCTAAGTAACAATCAATATTTTAGTTATGGGCAACCAAACGAGGCTTTTCTGAACGAGATATTCCAGAGCTCTTTGGATTTCAGTCATCATTTGGGGGCTGACCCTCTTGCTCAGTCGCTGTTTTGTCCTTTGATTTACTTGGTGGACAGCAAGGTATGCAGGCCTCAGCGGTTGAGTACTTTGGCTAGGGATTTTTAGGGCAATGTAATCAATGGTAAATTATTTATTTTAACCAATCATATCTGGTAATTCACCTTTAAAGCCTTCCTTGGGCATCCCCCCTCCACTTCACATTTCAGTGGAACTAATATAAGCAGCTCTTGGAAGTTACTAGTCTTGGATCTCTTAAAATATCCTACAGTTATTTATAATGTGGAAATGAGATTTTCCACCAAATACCCTCACAGCATTTCAGGTATCTGGCGCAGGAGATTTTCAGGCGTCTTCCAAAATGTCCTCTTGCTGAACATTCACGCTTTCAGTTGGAATTGACTGGGCCTGGAACTGACGATGCCTTGGCTCAGAGCATTATACTTAAAGGAAGAAAATATTTTTACAGACCCCCTAAACCAAACCCCTCCTGGTAATAGTAGGCACATAGGAAAACGTGGACATTTTACATCTGAGTATTTTGTGCTGTAGTTTGCATGATCTCAGGTTTAGATTTTCTTCACACCAAAGTATTTGGAACAAATCAAACACTGCATTCCTCTTCAGAAATATTTATCTTCTCTGTTGTATGTTGTGACAAAAAAAGAACAAGCATTTTTTCTGAAAATGTGGCTACTTTAGAAGATACAAACATAATTTTCCCCTGCATGTCCTTTAACACCTAATATCACTGTGTAGTAACAACATTTGGTAAATGAGATGTGAAATGATCAAGCTATTTAGTCAAAGAACTGAATCCTTAAATTGGGAACAAAACCCATGCTTCTTTCATTCAGGTTTCATCTTCTAAGCTCTACTCATTATTTTATATATACTTTTTTCTTGATGAAAAGTGAAAACGTTGCCCTGGCTGGTGTTGCTAAGCAGTCTCATGCATTGAAGGGTCTTGGGTTAGATTCCTGGTCAGGGCACATATCCAAGTTGTGGGTTTCATCCTGGTTGGGGCGCTTATGGGAGGCAGTTGATGGATGTTTCTCTCTCATACCTCGACACATTGATGTTTCTCTCTCTCTCTCTCTCTCTCTCTCTCTCTCTCTCTCTTTCTCTCTCATCAGTGAAAAGAACATAGCCTCAGTGAGGATATAAAAGAAAAGAAAAATGAAAAAGTCACTGTAAAATCTTAAAATTGCTTTCAATGTACCAGCTAAAGTTGGATAACCTTTTCAGACGTGCAATAGAAAATCATGGACATATTGATGATCCCTAAAGGTTTTAGGTGTAATATTGGAAAACATTATAAACAGAACCATCTTTGGAGAGTTTTCCTTTTGGACGGTGATTGAATTAAGAATACCTCGCCCTTGAAGAAGCAGTACTGCCAACACTCCAGGAGTTGTCATACTGAATACAGCTCATGGACCAAATCTAGCCTAAAGTCTATTTTGTCTGGCACACTAGTTAAGAATGATTTTTGTATTTTAAAGTACCAGGGAAATATTAAAAGAAGAATATGAGACTTGAAATTATATAAAATTCGTATTTCAATGTCCATAAATAATGTGTTTTTGGAACATAGCTATATTTACGTGTTTATGTATTGTCTGTAGCTGCCTTCACCTAATACAGCATAATTGTATAGTGTGACAAAGATTGTACGGCCTGAAAAGCCTAAAATATTTGATATCTGTTTTTTTATAGAAAAAGTTAGCCAGCCCCTAAAGTGAAAGGATGGGGCAGAATGGGACAGCAGAAAAGAATAGATATTAAGAGAAGATATTGGGATGGAGTGTGTATGAGGTCCAGATTAGTTCTCAAAAAATTAAAAATACATCATTTAACTTATTCTTTTCTGT